AAGGCTTAAATCTTCTTTACTTCGTCTTCGGTTAGCTTGCGAGTAGCATCTTCGTTAAGTCCGAAATCCTTTTAAGTCGAAGAAGTCATAGCTCTTTTTGATTTCCGAAAGCTTTAACGTAAGCTCGCTAAGTTGAGTTGATAGATATCGATTAAAGTGTAAAGGTGTCTTAAAACGGATGCGAAAAAAGAACGAGAATGATGTAAATATAAATGAATAATAAAAATGAAATAAGTATAATTTGTAATAAATATTAAATACATAAAAAAATGTTATAAAGATATAAGATCTCGATGCGTCGAAAGTGATTTATCAAAGAGTCGTATATCGATCGCGTCGAGCTAAATAGTCGAAACCAAATCGATATAATAAATAATATTAATAATACGTTTGACTTTTAAACGTAAGATCCGAATAAACGGAAAAGTAATTGCCGAAATTAAGTATATCGAAATAGAAACGAAGTCGAGTAATAGCCGAGCTTTCGTACAAGCATATAGCTTGCTTTTAATATAATGCGACACTAAAACGGTTCCGAATTGTATAATACTTATTTCCGCTTATCGTATCTTTTATTTATCGAAGCGAAAGATATTCGGAAACAATTCGAGATCTTTATACGTAATTTTCGTTGCGAAGCAAGTGTTGAATTTTCAACTTCTTAAGCTTAGCGTAGTATTTCCGGTACTTAGCTACTGCTTACTTTTTTAAAGAAGAAAGAGCAATAAACTCGTATTAGAACCGATGTTAAATCAAAGAAGATAAAGTATATTAAACGAATAGTACTTCGAGCGTATCGCCGTGCAAAATAGCTTAAGTGAATAGAACTTTATAGATACCGAATTAAACTTTAGCTAACTCGATCTTCGAACTAAAGTAACGACTTTTTAAGTAATACTTATTATATATATTAAATAGCATGCTCGACGGATATAAATCGAAAGAAGATCGTCTTTAAAATAATAGCTTCGAAGCTTATATGCAAAAGCACTTGATTGTTAGCTTAGCGTGTGTTGAATACTTTTCGAAAGAATACCGCAAAAGCATATAGTCAATAGCTTAGCGTATGACGTGAACTCCGAATATATAGTTTCTCGCAAAGGAAGCAAGTTTGAAAAAGGTATAAAGACCAACCTTTAATTCGATTCTTTACGTAAGTCATCAAATATATATAAAGAGGAAAAGCTCCGATATATACTTAACGTTAAATCAAAAGATATATATAAATATAGCTATAATAGAATCGTAAGTGAATAAAGGAAGAAAAGGAAGACGATCGAAGAACACTCGAATATGTGCTATAAGTACGTGTATTATATTGTATAGTAATGTGATACTGGTTTAAGGAGGAACTAACTACTCGTTTATATAAGAGCTTGCACGTGATTTAACTACGTGACTTAACTACGTACTTAACCACGTGCTTAGCAGGGCCAGAGCATGCAGCGCACTCACGTGACAAAGGTGCTTAGCATCAGTATTATATACATGGACAAAACAAATACAGAGCCCCAACTCCACCACAATAGCAAAGAAAGCGCTGTTTATTAAAGTCTTTTCGTTAAGGTTCTTGCGCGTAGCTATATTGCGCAAAGGTCTCGTAGCTTGCGTAAAAGCTTAAAAAAAAGATTGTAAAAAGACGGTTTAAAAAGAGGTCGCTCGTTTATGCTTTTGTATCGTAAAAGCGCGTTTTTTTCGAAAGAAAGCTGCGTTAATATCGATAGCAAAAGTCTTTAATTAAAAAGCCGAAGTCGATTCGTTTTCTTCCGTTATAAAAGCAGTAGTGTTGGATTGCTTCCAAGCGATTAAGAATATATTCGTAAAGTCGTAACGGTCGTCAAAGTACTTGCAATTGCAAAACACTCGGTTGATAAGGTATTTGAATTCTGTCTCCTTTTCAAGGCTCAAAGGAGCTGACTCTTTTTATATGATTAAAAGGAATCACGTGCACTAGCTAGCTAATAGGTTTACTTGTCAAGTTGGGGGTCCTTTAACTGCTGACATGCTAAGCGAGGCATGCCAAGTGGCCCGTGAACCATGGTTCACGAGTGAGTTCCCCAACTACTACTACTACTACTACTACTAGCTAAGGTCGATATAAAGATACCGACACCGGCAACTCTCTCTTTGGCAAGCAGTGCCTTGCCAACTACTATATCGACCGAAAAAGGAAGGAAGGTAATCAAGCAAACAAAAGAAATACAATCTCCTCTCTCCTTCTTTTACAACGGCCTTTCTACTTATCCATCCACTTGCACTTTTAAGGTATTGGTCAGAACTAGCTCTTGCAAGGAGGTATTGGCCTCGATTTTAGTTATAGCGTTAGCAAGGTTGGATTTGCTTTCGATCTAGCGTACCTTAAAGAGCTCTCGCCTCTCGTATGACTCTCGAATAGCTATAATATCGATTATAAGGCGCTTCTTTTTAATAATTCCTAGCTTTATTATACACTCGTAGAACGAGTAAGAGTCAATGCATACGACTACGAAGAAGTTAAAGATTCTTAATTAAGCTGTGATTTAAGCAAAGGTGGTCGATATAACAATAGTTATATCGATACTTAAAGATATAGCGTATAGCTTAAAAGCTAATACCGCTTTTATTACCCTCTTGCACTTTTGTAACACTTAATAAAAGATGTTACCCGTCAGAGTGAATTCGTTTTTATTTACGTAAGCCTTATTACTAAGGATAGCTACGAAACCGATCTAAGAGCTAAAGTCAACGTTATTAGCAAACGCTTCGTCTACGAATATAAAGAGCTTCGCCGTCTTTAAGTCTAAAAACACGTAATAGATCTTTCGAGTTGGGTAATCAATCAGCTACTAGATCACTTTATTAAAGGCCTTGTAGTCCTCGTCCTTCGGTTCTTAATGCTAAGCAATTATCGATAAAGCATACGATGCTTTTAAGTAGTAAATAATAATTAAATACGCTTTTCGAGCACGTTGCTTTAAGTACTCTTTAGCCCGCGTAACTAAATCGAGCTTGATTACGGCAAGCCTTTTACCTTGCCTTTTTTACTTAATTAATAGTCCGAACCCGTCTTTATTTAAAGATAGCTTGCATCTATTGAAAATCATCGGCTCGGCGTATATAAAAGTTTCTATTTCTTTGTTCTTTAGCTTAGATTTAACCAGCTCCTTTTCTTCTTTTACTTTTATAGTTAGATTGATAATTATAAGAACATCATCCGTTTATAAAGCAGCTATTCTTAGCTGATCTTTATTAATTGATATAAAAAAGCAAAAATCAAAGCTCGATTGCTTTATCTCGAAGTTGACCGTGAAATGCTTTGAAAAACGCTTATATTAATACGTTTTTGCTTTAAAGATCTTATACAAAAGGCTAGTCATAAAGAACAAAGTGCCGAAAAAGAATCGATAAGTAATCTTTTTAGATAATCGCACGACGATTATTCTAATAAGCTTCGTGCTTAACTAAGTGTAAGCTTAAATGATATCTTTATTATAAACTTAATACTCGTAGTCTTTTATTAAAGAAAGAGCTAAAGCATAATAAAGTCTTTAGCCCGTTCGTTGCACCGTAAATGACTCGGTGAGTACTTTCGTTTTGCTTTTGTTTTGAAAAGCTTAGATTATTATACGAGACTTTTCGTATAGCGTAAGTGTTTTTTTGCTTTTGATCTTATTAACAAACTTAAATCCGAAGATCTTAACGCTTTTAACGCGTAAGTCGATGCTCGAGATCACTTAAAAGATGCTTTAAGCTATCAATCTAGCTAATTTCTTTGCTTTAGATTCTTGAAATAGTACTTTAAAGCTTTTGATGATTCCTTCGGCTCGTAGCTTAGCTAAAAGCTTATAGTCCCGGCGTTCTTTATCGGTAATTAACACTTCGGAGTCTTTAGTAAATAAAACGTAAAAATCGCCCTTTTCTTCGTCGAGCACGGTCGAGATACTAAGATCGTACTTTTAATAAAGTATTTAGACCATTAGTATTGTTGATCTCTAAGAATTAACAAGTTGAGAAAGGCTGTTTGCTGATCTTAGCGAGCTTCTTGGATTAAGCGACCTCGGTGGATTAAGCGAATGTTAAGGTTTAAGCGAATTTCGTAGTTCCAGCTTTTTTTCGCCTTTACTCTAATCTTCTTCTACTTCTACCTCAAGTACTTGCAACTCTTTTAGCAGCTTTTCAACTTCAAAGTAATAAGGTTTTACTAAGGTTGACCTGAATTCCGTAAGTCTCGGACATACTATTGTGCACGTATGCCCTTGCTTGTTAAGCAGCTGAAAAAGGTCTTTCTACCTTTAATTCTTTCGCTACACGAGTACTTATAAGCTAATAAAAAGGTCTAAAGTATGCTCCGTAACTAGCCTATTCTTCTTTTTAAGCGCGTCCTTAACTTGCTTTGTAGCGTAGCATTTTCGTACTTCTTTTATAGCTTTGTTAATAGCAGCAGCACGCTCTTAAGTAAACGCGGCAAGTCGATCTTGTTCCGTTAGCTTTAATAAGGTCTTAAAAACGAAGAGTATAAGAACCAGGCTATTAAGTCTAGCTGTATCGTTGATAGCTTTTATAGCTATTTAAAGCCGGTCCTCCCTTAAAGCTTTTAAAAGCTCTTTTGTGACGATCTTAAAAGCGCGTCGCACAAAGACGTAATAGCGTTCTATTAGCCCGACGTTATAATAAGCTTTTATAAGCATCTGCTTTAAAGTGCTGCTAATACTTTTAAAGTAGCTTCGGAACGTTGCTGAATTAAAGTTGGTTCCGGGATCGTGCACGACGTTTATAAGAAGTCCGACGTAAGTATTGATTTAACATCGATTGAATCTCTTAAGTAAATGCTATATAAATATGCTTTTAAAGAAAGTAGCAGCTTAAAAATTAATAGAATCGCAAACGACGTGCAATACGTTCTTGCCGTTAAAGTGCATCACATCGACGTATACCGTGTCATTGAAGTCAGTATCATCTTTGAATCTGATACTAAACCTTTTCGAAAAGCGTTCGAATACTTAACAGTAGTAGCAAAACTTTTAAATATTGTAAAGCAAATCCCGCTTGAATTCGTGCTCGGCCCTCTTAAGAACAGCAGCGAATCGGCTTGCTAAAGGGTGGCCAAAACGCTTGTAGATAGTCCTTAATTGCTCTTCCGTGAGGTGGCAGTAGACGGTCTCGCCCTCGGTGCTGTAGTAGGTAGCAGCGTGCTTCTTATTCAGTAGCATCTACACGTGCCCAAACATCCTTACCACTGGTATTTCCCTCTTGTCGATACGTGGCCTGTTAAGGGATCTGGGGAGCTTGTTGGTACGTCCGAGGGTGCTGGATCCCTTCCTCGGGTTGCTGAATTCCTTTCTCGGGTTGCTGAGGTTGGGCATAGAAATCTGCACGCTGTCCTTAGTAAAAGCTGATTTTGCCCGGAATGCTCTCAGGTCTTGGTAGGTCCTCTTTTAGCGTGTAGCTGCTATTGCTTTGCGTATTATCAGGCCCGATTATGATTTCAAGACCCTTGTTGTTATTGCTACTAGGCCCAGGCTTTTCAGAAAACTGGGTGTAGCTCTTGAGAAAAGGGTTTGAAGGCCGCTAAGGTGATTTTGGCTTTTCTTGTATGATTAGCGTATTGCGTAGCGATTGATGAATTGAGGGCGTCGAGTACGCTGAAGTGCTTCGTCGTAGCCCTTCGTTAGATTGTATAGCGTAAGTCCGTAATTCCGCCATTTGCCTTGCCATCACCTTTATATTTTACTCTATATTCCTTCTCTCCTTCGCAAATTCCTCGCGCAACCTCCGAATCTCTTCCCTTTCTTCTTTTTCCTTCCCTTTTAGACTTCGTAAAAGTGGTTAAAGCGTATTATCCTCGTCGTCCGTAAGGTTTTCGGCGGTCCACCTTAAATCGAGGCCTAAAGGTATTGCTTATTGCTCTTTTATTTCTTAGAAGGTCCATTAGTGTTGCTGCTCGTCGTTCAAGAGCTTGACCATCCTATTAGCGTAGCCCTTTTGCTTTGAGAGGTACCACACGCCTTTAGACAGCAAGTGTTCTTTAAAGCTAATAAAAGTAGCAAACTTAAAGCCTCGTCCCGTATTGTCTTTCGTCATCGTAAAACTCGTCTAATCTTAACGTAAGAAAGCGTGTCGGAATAGGCTTTATAAGTCGTAATCCTTTAGCTTTTTATACTTCGCATCTAAGAAGTCTTTTACTATTGCTCGGGCCGTAATCTTACTATCGGGCCTTGCGTATAATAGCTCGTTTAAGTTAAATAAGATGCTCGACATCTTATCGTCTGGTCCTTCCGAAAGGCTTAAGAGTCCTAGGTATAGTGTTTCTTTTGGCTGAATAGCTAAAGGTTCCGTAAGTGGTGATGAGACTCGAAAGGTATAATACTTTATTGCTCTTTGTCGGCTGGACTCTTTACTTAAAGGTCTAGTTGTTCGATCGGCTATAGTTGTTGTCTATTTGTATGTAAGTCGATCTAAATTGGTTAGGTTGCTATATGTAGCAAGCGCGGCTTTTATAGCGTTGAAGTTGTTGTTTTGGAAGTGACTTGGTTCGGAATCACTCTTCCGTAAGAATGGGGAAAAATCGGTGGTATAAGCAAGCGACTTGGTACGGAATCGCTCTTCCGTTATAAAAGGAAAGGTATCGGGGCGTAAGAAAGCGACTTGGTACGGAATCGCTCTTCCGTTGTAGAAGGAGGGAGGTATCGTAGTAAAAGGTATCCTCGCTATAGAGTCTTAGCTTCTTTGTGATTGATCACTTAGTAGTAATTTAATCACTGATCAGTGTTGGATTGCTTCTAAGCGATTGGGAATATATTCGTAAAGTCGTAACGGTCGTTAAAGTACTTGCAATTGCAAAACACTCGGTTAATAAAGTATCTGAATTCTGTCTCCTCTTTAAGGCTCAAAGGAGCTGACTCCTTCTATATGATTAGAAGGAATCACGTGCACTAGCTAGCTAATAGGTTTACTTGTCAAGTTAGAGGTCCCTTGACTGCTGATATGCTAAGCGAGGCATGCCAAGTGGCCCGTGAACCATGGTTCACGGGTGAGTTCCCCAACTACTACTATTACTACTACTACTAGCTAAGGTCGATATAGAGATACCGACAAGTAGCAATAGCGTAAGCTTAAGCTCTTAGTCGTCGGACGGCGCTTAGCTTCTTTTTAATAAAAGTGATCACTTTGCCGTTGACTCGCTTAAGAGCCGTAAAACAGTTTTTATAACTAGCTTCGTACGAGTCGTAATAGTTTACATAACGAGAAAGTGCCGTGCAATCTTTGCCGTCGAGCCCGTCGTACTAGTCTTTTCGCTCGCCGTAATAAAAGCAGCGTGCGTGCCGAGTGCATTTAATCGAGTTATACTAGCTAAAGCAGCTAAAGTCGTGCCTTTTAATAAGTTGCTTTTTATCGATTAACCGAAAGTAACTGTTGCAATTAAACAACTTAAAGCTGCGTACTTCTTTTAAGAAAAAGATTATTTAACAAGTCAAGCCGATCGTCGAGTCGGCTCCGTGCTAAAAGATGCGAACGCTTATCGGAGCTCTTTCGGCTTAAGCTAAGATCTTTTCGTCGATATGCTTCGCTATCTTAAAAATCTCGCCGAAAAAGCTTTTGATTTCGGCAAAGACCTTTTAAATAGCGTACGTGTATTATTTAATCGAGATAATCGCTTTCGTAGCTTTAAGAACTTTTTAATATACCTTTTTAGCTTTATTTATAATAAAAAGGTCTTTCGCTTTAAAGTTAATCGAAGTAAGTGCTTAATTAATGCGAGTAGCTTTAAAACGAAAGATAATAGTTATATCGACGCCGTTTAGTTTATTAGCAATAGCTTTGCGAGCGGCGTAACTATCGAGACGAGCTAAAAGTACGGCGGAAAGTACTTAAATCAAAACTCGCTTGTTTTAGCGTATCTTAAGTTGTTCGCTAAAAGACTTGCGAATAGCTTAAAAGCTCGTAAGCTTGCGAGTCTTTGCAAGTCTTATTTTTATAACGGAAAAAGATCGAGATAGCTTAGCGATTACCGATTAAACGGCAGCTTTTAAGTTTTTTAAAGTCTTCGAAAGCTTTGCGGAATCTGCTTATAAGATAGACTTAAAAAAGGCCGTTTGCTCGCTGCTATAAAAAGCGGTCGAAGAAAAAAGAAAAGTAGCTGCTTTAATAGTTGCGTGTAAATAAGTACGTATAAACGTAAAAAAACTTTTAAAAAACTCTTGCGCATAATATCGAGATTCGAAGTCAAGTTGGTCGTTTATAATCTAGTTTAAAGCAAAAGCGTATTGCTATTAAACTCGTCGTTTGATAGCAACCGCGCGGTCGATATCGTCGAAATAGCTTTCGATAGCTTTCGTCGCCGTATTAATAATCGGTGCTTTTTGTTTTAATACGAAAAGAAGAAGTTGTAAATTAATAGCAGCGTTTTTTTTTCTCTTTTTAAAATGCTAAGTAAAGTTAAACGGCGATATAGCGTTTTAAAGCTGTGTATAATCGGCGTTGTTAATATTATTATTATCCGCAGAAGACCGAGATAAAATAACGAAAACTATTTCTCGAGCTATACGGCGAGCGCAACGAGCTATTGATTTAGTTCTAGCGGATTCTTAAGGAAACCGTATCTTAAGAATCGAATGCAATAAAAATCAAGTCGTTATGAGCAAGTTGAAAATTTCGTATTAAATAATTAAGATAAGTATTATAGCTAAAAATGTGCGGTTTCGAATTACGTAAGTATCCGTAAACCTCTTTTTAAACTTAAAGCTTTTAAAATGCTTGCTTTCGATAAAGCTAATATTACGGACTATATTCGCTAGCTCGAACGAGCGTTTAAAGACTACGGTATCGTTATTGATTCGGAGAAAAAGCAGTGCTTTGTTAAATACAATATTTCTGACCTTTTTAATTATAATATACGTTGCAATATCGAGAGCTTCGACGGCTTTTCGGATCCGAAAGTAACTTAGAACGATTTCAAATCGATAGTTAAAGAAAAGTACAAAGTTTTCGACTTAGCTAAATAGAAAGATAATATTAGCTTTTTGAACGACTTAAGCAATAAATAGATAGCAAAGGAAAGAACTTCTAAAGCGGAGCTTTTATAATTCATTCGACAGTTCAACTTTACGAGCTTTGCTTGCTTCGCTAATAAAAATATTACCGATAAGCAACTAAAATAAAAGTTCTTCGGTTACTTATTACTATCGATGCAAAATCAGATTTAAAAGAACGTTAAACTTAAAAAAGATCACTTGCAAACTTATAATATAATATATATTATAGTTAGCAACTTAATTAAGCAAAAACAAATCATTACGGAAAAGATTAAAAAATACAGCTACGCTAAGATCTTTAAAGCTTTTTCTCGCTATAACTTTTATTAAAACGAGAACTCTCGTTCTTAAGTACCGTTTATTATTCTCGAGAGCAAGCGAAACTTATACGTTTCGCTCTTTTATAACATTTACTTCGATAGTATTTATGCTTTTCTTTCTTATTGCGTAAGCATTACTATTACGAGTTCGATTACTTCGTTTATCGATCTTAACTTAAAGATCGAAACTCTTATAAAACAGCTAGCGAAAGTTAGTATTCACTTAAGACTTATCGACAGCTTCGCTTCCGTATCGAAAAAAGCTTATATGAACTTATTAAAAGCAGCTTAATACGAAAAGACTTAAAAAATCGCTTTGCACCGGGTCTACGAAATTAATATAGCTAATACTTATTCGAACCGAAGCTACGCTATATCGAAAGAGAAACGGTCGTTAAACGATTTTATATACATTTTCTATTAATGCTAACAAACTTCTGATCTACTTAACTATTAATAAAAGCCTTACAAATATCAAAATCAATGTTACTTATTTATACTTTAATACAAACTAGCTTTTCATTTTAATAAAGCAGATTTAATATATATAAGACCGTATCGAAAAGAAATACTATCGATTTCGTTTCAGTTTCGAAACGATACTTTTAAATATAAGCAAGTTTTAAAAAAGGTTCGTAAGATAATAAATGATCTTAATCTTAAGCGTTATTATAAAGCTTTAAAAGCATAACGAAAATCTATTAAAAAAGCTATACGAAAACGCGTTAAAGCGCTTATTCGAGTAGCTAACGGCGGCAATGCGGAAGCTTTTCGTATTAACGACTTTAATACTTCGGATATAATTCGCTAACGATACATTATATCAGCGGATTTATATACTCGCGTATTTAATACGGAAGCTATTATTGCGTTAATAAAGACTCGAGCGCGCAACGCGGCCTTTCGAGTTACGCTATACTCGTTAAAAGACGCTTTTTCGGCAAAAGCAAAGGTTTAATTTACTTATAGCTAGCTTAAAGTTATTTTCGCTAAACTAATAGAAATAAATAAGCTCGAGCTCGCTTATACCGCGATTTTTAATCGAAACGCTTTACGACCGAAAGACTTACGGAATTTGCTCGTCATACTATTAAAAGCTCTTAAAGCTGTACTTAAGCTTAAGGCTAAGCTTTTTAAGATTATTAAATTATACGAAAAGCTTAACAAAGTAATCTCTTTTTTAAGAATAGATTACGAAGCGACTCGTATTAAGCTTTTAAAAAAGCGCGATTTGCTTAAGAACTTAACTCTTAATAAAACTATTACGTTTTTCGCTGTTCTTTTTACTTTTAAGCGATTTTCTTTCGAAAGTATAATCGATAAAATGATTTAACAAACTTTTATTAGCGAAAGCGCTATTAATTGCTTTTAAGCTACGGTTAACGTTGCGGAAGCCTCGGAGGATTGCTTAATTATAAGTAGCAAGCTTATACCGAAAGCGACGGATAATACAGCAAAAGACGGACTTGTTTTAAAGCTTTAGCGGCTTATTTAAAAAGAAAGTAATATTTCTTTATCTAATAGCGATCTATTTTGCAAAGTTATAAATCGCTTTATCGGTAAAGCGCTTTATCGTAAGAATTTACTTTCTCTTTTTTTTTTTGCTACGTCGATTTACGGCCGAATCATTAGTAAAGCAGACTTTATATAAGTCTTTGCTCGATTAAAACGGAACTTATACAAAGATGCTACTGCTTAACGGTCTTAGCTTAAACGCTTATTCGAATTC